CGACTCGAGGTCATGTCTCCACTGTGAACAGGATCAGTGACCGGATCATGGGAGTGAGAATGGACACGAAGGAGGGGTACTGGACAGTACTGACCGTGTACGCACCACAATCCGGTTGCTCCGAGGCGGAAAAGGATGAGTTCTACCTGACCCTGGACGAGGCCATAAGATCGGTTCCGGAAGATGACTACCTCACCATAGCTGGGGATCTGAATGGCCATGTGGGAAGTGACAGAAGGGGTCTAAAAAGGCCAAGGAGTAGGTGCAAAGAACGCTGAGGGAGAACGAATCCTTGACCTAGCCACAGCCCACGACTTAGCAATCTGTAGCACCTTCTTCGCGAAAAGGAGGACTCAGAAGATAACCTACAGCAGTGGAGGGAGACAAACGGAAATCGACCATGTCCTGGTCAGAAGATCGTCTCTCAAAACCGTCAAGGATATCAAGGTACTGCCTGGGGAAGAGCTGGGCCCTCAGCACAGGCCTCTCCTGGCAGACATCGCCATAGACCTCCCAAGAAGGCGAGAGTGAGATCGGTTTAGAAAATTGGCAAGGTTGAAAAGGATAGCCTCGGCCGAAATAATACTGGAGGCTGGGCTCCCAGACCCACATGGGCCAGTCCAGGACACCTGGACCCACGCAGTCGAGGTCATCCTACAGTGTGCAAAGGAAGTCCTGGGAGAGACGCGCGGTGGTATCAGAGGAGACAAGGCAGCCTGGTTCTGGAACGAGGAAGTCCAGGGGATCGTCAAGCAGAAGAAGGAAGCATATAAACGCTGGCAAAAGACACGGAGCCCAGAAGACTTCGCTGCCTACAAGAGCTGCAAGCGACTCGCTAAGGCAGCCGTTGCTAAGGCCAAGAATACGGAAATGGACGCCCTGTACGACAAGCTGGAGAGGCCGAGAAGGGGACAAGTTCGTCTTCCGCCTGGCTAAAGCTCGGCGAGCCGAGAAGGGGACAAGTTCGTCTTCCGCCTGGCTAAAGCTCGGCATCGCGCGGCTCAGGACATCAGGGTCGTAAAGACTGTGAAGAGCAGCAACGGGGCCATTCTCAGGAAACCAGCCGAAGTCAGAAAGAGGTGGGAAGAATACTTCGAGGGACTACTGAACGAAGAATTCCCCGCAAGGATAGCCCACAGATAGAGGCGACGGCAGGTCCCATCACTCCCTGGACGAAGGATGAAGTCCGCCGGGAGCTAGGGAGAATGAAAGTTGGGAAAGCAGTGGGTCCAGACGGGGTACCGATAGAGGCATGGAAGGCCCTGGGAGAGCTTGGGGTGAGTTGGCTAACAGACTTCCTAAACAATGTAACGGCTGAAGGAAGGATGCCAGATGCGTGGAGGAGCAGCACAATCGTCCCCATCTTCAAACAGAAAGGGGACGCGACGGAGTGCTCCAACTACCGCGGCATCAAGTTGACTCCCCATGAAGCTGTACGAGCGCCTGGTCAACACTAGGCTGAGGGAACTTGTCCCTATCTCGCAGGAACAGTTCGGCTTCATGCCCGAAAGGTCCACCACTGATGCCATCTTCATCGCCAGACAGCTGATGGAGAAGTACCGAGAGAAGCGGCGACCCTGCTACCTAGCCTTCCTGGACCTTGAGAAGGCATTCGACCGCCTGCCTCGGCCTGTACTCTGGAGAGAGAGAACGTAACGTTCCGGAGCACCTGGTCTCCATAGTGAAGGACATGTACGATGGGGCTAAAGCAGCTGGGCGCATCCCTTACGGCTTGACCAAGAAGGTACACCAAGGATCAGCCTTCTGCCCGTTCCTCCCTCCTGACTCTGGATGTCATGGCAAAAGAACTCATGGAGGGGCCACTGAAAACCATCCTCTACGCTGACGA